ACAAGTCCATTCATGATTGTAAAATGAAGAAGTACTGATGAAAAACAATATGTACACGTTAGGTTCATGCATAACTTCGTATCATAAAAATAGATTCTAACCATATCTAAATTCTATATGTAAGGAAAAAAATCCACATATTCTTATATGTCCATTTACATGTCTTAAAGCCTGTCTTTTTCCTACTTCACCTACTGATCCATCTCCATCTCCCACCCAAGTAAGTTTGCTTTTTGTGAAATTCCTCAAATTCATGAAATTTCCTAATGTGTATTTGAATCTGTTGCTTGTTAATTGCTTAGTGGTAAACTAATACGCGGATAAAAGTCATAATTAGGTATTTTTATGTCAAAAAAATTTAAAAAATATTTTAGAAAAATTATCTTTGATATACCTAATTTTTTATCACAAATATAGACCTGAAAAAAAATGATCAAAATAGACTTAAATGTTTTATCAAAAATAAGTAAATATACATTTATACCGTTTGGGTTAACTAATTCTAAACATTTTTGTTTAGAGTCGAGGAATAGGGTGTTGGGGCTAGGATTTAGAAAAAAAAAAAATTTAAAAAAAGTTTTAAAATTTTTTTTAAAAAAAATAAAATTTTCAAAATAAAAGATATTATTTTGGTCATTTTAGGTTTTGAGATTTATTTTTTGTGATAAAAACTTAAAAGTTCTATTTGAGAGTTTTGACCTATATTTTATTTATTAAATTTGCAATAAAACTATTTTCCTTAATTTTATGTATATTACATTTTCTAGAAAAAGGAATACTAATTTCAACTTTAAAACTTGTAACTAATGCAAAGTAAAAAGATTACTATAACGTGAACTGGAGGTTAATTACAAAAAAAAAAAAAAAACTGTAAAAAAGTCCCATCATTTTAGAACATATTTTGTAACATCTCCTTTTAGCATCTGGATATCTAATACATAATTGTGTTGATTCTAATAGTGATAATTTATTTCTCTTTTTGTTTTTGTGGTTTTTGTTGTTTGTGCTATGAACAGATGTGAAGAAAGTCGCAGCCTGTGTTGATTCATGTTCGACTAAGTGTTCCAGCAAAAACAAAAAGTGATACTTTTACTACTATCTAAACTATTAAAACTGGAGTACAAATCTAAACTATTAAAACTGGAGTACAAATAAAGCTTAGCCCTAACTTTTCCTAAATATTTACAACTGAATGCCACTGATTTATAAACTGTTGTTTTATTAAGGATATTAAAGCTAAACCTAGATATTTCGTTAAGGGTATTTATATTAATCTACTCGTGAACATATCAACCACAGCGAGGCCGGAAAATGAAGTCGCCACTAACCCTCACTTTGTTGAAGCTCGAGAAGTCCACCGTCGAGAAGGGGTTCCAACGATGAGCAACTCCCGAACGATTATCTTAACCGCCAGGCTTTCCGACGCGTCAATACGTTGGAGTTATTGATGAGATAACAACCATGGAAGATGGCATCATTCCTTCCTTCATAGGTATTTCATTAATCATTCCTCTTTTGTTAATCTTTAGATCTGAGAGATGATATCACTGAGATTGATTAAGTCGTGTCCGTCGCCATAGGAAAGACGAAGCAAAAAAAAAAACTGTGTGTGAACTTTCACTTACGTTTTATTCTCAAGTGTTGTTTTTTTTCTGATAAAGAATTCTCAAGTGTTGTTATTTGGTAAAGTTCTTTCACTTTAATATTATCAGAATCCGTTAGGTACTGTCGTTATTGACTTTTGTTTGTTCTGCAGAACAAATTATGCCGGTAGTCAGAGCTGTAAGCATGGGAGTACTTACATTTACAAGGAGCAACAGTGCTAAACATGTGATTATGCAATGATTTAACAAGTTCTTCCCTACGGAAACGGAAACGAGTAAGCATCTCATTCAAAGTACTTGGTTCAGTTCTTGAAGTATTTTGATACTATATGGTTGGCTCTTTATTAGTTGTAGGATCTATCTCAGCAGTTAAGTCGGTTATTAGAATGTATTAGTGTGCTGAATCTTTCTTTACGGCTGTGGAATAAGTTTTCATCTTTGTTCGTTTGTTTTAAAGGGCTGTCTTTTTTGAAATAAGTTGAAGAAGTATACATTAGCAACTCAAAGTATATCAACTTGATGTTTCAAGTTGTCTCTTTAATTTGCAGTGTTTGTCTTTATAAGTTCACGATTTTCTGTAAAGAGTCATACGACGGAAAACATATCCCAATCTCTGTATGCTATGTTCAGTAGCAGTCTGAAGAGGGTAATTGTATTGCTTATGGTACAAGTGAAGGTAGACATGATGGACTCTGAGTCATTCTTTTTCAAAAAGGTATTGTCTTAGAATATGACACTCTTTCTTTTATCCACTGTGTTTTTGTTCTTTACAGAATTATACTGAAGTTTCTGCTCAAAAATGTGGTACAATTGTTTTTATCTAATTTGCTTTTATTATTATTTTATATTTCTGTCTAAATATGTATTTATTTTGAAAATATTAATATAAAAATTAAACTTTATATTCAACTTTAAATCCTAATAGTATTAGTATAAAAACAAGAAACTTCAATATTGTACAATTTAGTTTTTAGTTTACCTAAAAAATGAAGAAAACCACATTAAAAGAAAAATACATTTTCATAGTTAGTAAATGGACGCAAACACACATTGAAGAGGACACGCCATTGTCAAAGCTTATGAATCTATAACAAAAAGATAAATAATTATGTTTGAGATTGTTAAAAGTGAAAAACATAAACACACCCGCGCGGACGCGCGGATCAAAGTCTAGTACAAATTAACATTTCAATTAAAAGATAAGAATGCATTGTATTAGTTAGTTTTCAAATAAAATGATTAGTTTATTATTTGGTCTGGTATTTTTTGGTTATAAACATATCAACTGAAACCATTAACTCAAATCACTCAATAAAGAGTACGTACTTAACAAGGAAAGGATGGTTACTAATCTTCATAATTAGTCATGACATACNAAAAGATAAGAATGCATTGTATTAGTTAGTTTTCAAATAAAATGATTAGTTTATTATTTGGTCTGGTATTTTTTGGTTATAAACATATCAACTGAAACCATTAACTCAAATCACTCAATAAAGAGTACGTACTTAACAAGGAAAGGATGGTTACTAATCTTCATAATTAGTCATGACATACCTATGGCTATGTGTATACTGACATACCTATGGCTATGTTTACGCACATGACATATCCAATACAAGCAAAGCACCACAAGTCCATTCATGATTGTAAAATGAAGTACTAATGAAAAACAATATGTACACCTTAGGTGGGAAAATGGGTTTTTAATTCCCCAACTATTTGCAGTTAACACTTTTATTACTCAACTATAGATTGTGCAGAATTAATCTCCAAGTTAATTTTGACTATGCAACATCAAACTTAAAAAAAGTCAAACCGTTAACTGTTGATAGAAAATTATCTAATTATCTATTAAAGATATCAAAAATTTAATCAATATAATTATTTTTTTTTCTCAAAACTAACGATTCAGTCTAAAATCATGGAAAACATGATAAATAACCAAATTTACTTCTCTAATAATAGTATATATTATTTTAAATATTGAACTTGTAATTTCAGTAAACTATATACACAATATACAACTCAAATCAATTACATTCATGCATGTAAGTTAACTGTGTTTGATAAACCTAAGTATCAATCCTGGACAAAGCCGAATGAAAAAGTAGTCTTGGATCCCCCCAATTTTTTTTTTTTAAACTACATAGGTATACACACACAAAAAATTATAAACTTGAACTTTGTAAGAAAATAAAAAAATTTAGTTGAAAATTTTAATAAATTGCCCATGATCCACTAATTCTAAAGGCGGCTAAAACAAAGATTTGTAAATATTTATATATGCTAATATTTTGATTTTGGAAACAAATAATACAGATATCTCCATACTGTGAATATGGAATTACACACATCATAGTA